CAGGTATTTCTCAGCAGTAGTTACTTTACAGAAACATTTAGCTGGAAATACTTCTGTACTTTTACTGAGTAAAATTTGGAGTTCTGGTCTTATACTCAATTACTTTTTATATGTACTGTCTGTACACCTATAAGATAGACAGACATACAGACATAAAAACTTCTTCTTTGACCGGTTGCACTCTATAATCGTCTGTTTTCCTGTTTTGTCAGTGATCATAGAAGACGTCAGACTCTTCAAAGAGTGACACAATGTCTTGGGGTGAGTTCATCGAGCTGCGAGAGCTGCGCACCCACAGAGAGCAGATTGAGCTGACTGCCACACGCGCTCCCTGCTCACCTCCTCGTCTTGAAAGAACCAACGCCCTGAGGATCAGCCCGGGGAAGGTCCCGGACCTGCTGAGCCGGGTGGGCATCATCAGGGTCCTGAGCAGCACCCAGGACCCTCAGCTCCCAGAGGAGAAGGGAGAGGGACACAACTTCCAGCCCTGCAGCCACGCTCAGCCCACATGGTGCGACCTGTGTGGAGACTTCATCTGGGGCCTTTACAAGCAGAGCCTGCGCTGTGTCAGTGAGTTGGCTTATCTGGCCTGTGTTTGTCTGGGTGGTCAAACAATGTCACTAATTGTCACAATATAATTCTAATCAATATCAATACATCAAAAGTTCAATATATAAAGATATATTGCTTATGCATTGTGCACAGTGAGGAGGTATAACACATACATTATGTTTTGCAGTCATCAAGTGTTTTTCATTATCTGCTCAAGAAGAATTTAAAAGCACAACCTTCCCTCAGGAGCATAAATCTGTCTTAAGATTCATATGAAATAATAAAATGACGTTTATCCTGATATTTAACAATATCTATTTTTAAATTGATAGAAGTTTTGGCCATATCGCAGAGTCCTATCTGCGTGTGTATGTGTGAGTGCTTCTATGAATATGCATGAATCAACTGACATGGCAGCAACACTTAAGGAAATATGGATAAACAGAGAAAGGTGTAGCCACTAATTAGATCCAAACAATCCTGTATTACCATTGACTCTCTTATCATTGACTCTTTTACGGCTTGATTTACCAGAAATTCTCTCCATGTTGTCTTTCAGTAGAAACAAATGGGCAGAGAGGTTTTATTTTAGGACTGCAATATCCATGAAGCATGTGACAGGTGTCTTTAAGAAGACAAACAGTATCTAACATGCAGCCATGTACTTGGTCACTGGTCACTGTGGCGGCTCAGAGTCGGTGCAGCGACCTGTTTTTCTTTCTTTTCCTGCTCAGGACGCAGCTCTGAGTTGCAGCAGTCTTTAACTTCCTTTTGTTCGACTGAAACCCACTAAAATGTTGCTGTGGTTTGTGTGAAGTGTTTATTGTGCAGAAAAAATGAACCGTCTTTACAGTAATCTGAATATGAAACTGTTACTGAATCATAATCATTCATGTGCATAAACACAGGTCTTACACTGATAAGAACAAACATGACCATGACCAAAAACCATAAAATTAATCATATATTTATCCTGGACACAGAGATTATGATATTTTTATATGTAGAGATGAGTGTTTACTACTTTTATATATTTTGAGACACGTTCACAGCATAATCACAAGGAAAATGACCAGTGTGAGTTCATCACCCATTTATAGCTGCACCCTAATTAAAATTTTGTCGTATGCATTTAAGTGTTTTGTGGTGTCTGTCTAAACGTAGCCTCTTTCTTCACTCACAGATTGCAGATTCACGTGTCACTACCGCTGTCGTGCCCTCATCCAGTTGGACTGCAGCTGGGACGGAGGCTCGCTGTCCGACCAAACATGGGTCGTGGAACACGCCATAGAGACAGACACAAACGTGGTGAGGCCTTTTGTATTTGACAGCAGAGTATTCATCAACAGTTCTTGGTAGTTTTAGCGTCTTGAATATGGAGAAATGATCATCATATTCTGCCAATAACAACAAGGTAATGGGAGAGGTAACTGGTGGCTTCAGTCAGGTACATTGTGTGTCACCTGATTAGATTACAAAGTAATTCTGATGGAAATGCTTTTACGGAACCAATCCCTTGTTTTATGGCAAGAACAGGAACTAGTCACACTGTTCAACCAATACCACTAATTGCACTGGTTCCATTTAGACCATGGGAAAATGGTATAACTGCTGTACTCTTGCAGGGTGCCACCAGGCTGGGAGTTTCATGAAAACGGGAAGTTTGTCATTGAGACACACAAAAAACGTTACAGTTAGCTCACACTCTGTGCAATATCATGTTCAGGTAATCAACTACAGCGGAATATGTCTGCAGACTCCTTCAGCGTGTTGTATTACACATATATATTCAAGTATGAGGTAAAGAATAAT